GAGCTGCAGCTGCAGGGTCCTTAGTTGGGCAGCAGCTGTAGCTCGTGAAGGTAACTGAGATAAATAGGGGTGGGTCAAGAGCCCAGGAGGAGCCCCTGAGAAGAGAGACAGGACTGTGCTGCAGAGAATGGAGAAGAGCCCCAGCAGCAAGGCAAGAACAACACTGCAGCAAAGATTACAACAGGATGGAGGGGCTGCAAGTGCAGCAGGCAGAGTGCTCCCAGTGTGGGTCACCCTGCTGGCGCTGGCTTTCCTTGCTGAGGGTGAAAGCTTGCCAGGGGTGAGGCTTCCCACCGCTCTCCCACGCAGCTGGTTGTGTGCTGGAACAAAGTTCCATCTGTGCTGGCTTCCTCCTCCTCCCCATCTGGCACATCCACTCACTGCCCTGCCTACAGAGAGCCAGCCTGGGTGGGTTCCTTCTGCTCCTGGTGCCTCATTCCTGGAGGTAGCAGGAGCTGGAAAGCAGCACTGAATCACTGCCCCAAACACTTCCATCTCCCATCACACGGCAGGCCTTATCCTCTTCCTGCTGTGCCCACCAAACCAAACCCTACAGAGAGTGGAGGAAAGGATTTTGGGGAGTCACAATTGATGCACTTGGACTCAAGGCACGGGGACAATGACATTTTGCTTTCTAACTGAGCCCGACATGTGCACCTTAATGGAAACATCACAAAAGTTCCACAGAGATGTTGCAGCCAGGGTTCATGAGCCATTAAGGTGATGTTTCAGCACAGATCCTGGAAATGCAGCACTCTGGTGGAATTTCATTTAAACCCTACCTGTACCTTCCTCTAATGCTTTGTTGGGATGTGGAGGAGCTTTCCTGGCTGCTGAAATGGGAATTAGGCAGCACTGGCTTTCAGTTACTAATCCAGTAGCTGAAATGTTGATTGGAGGGAAAAAAATGTCTAAAAAGTGTTCAAGCATCCTATCCTGATCTGTGCCTGAATTTAACATAATTTAAACATCACAGACAGCTTGACACAGGGACTCCTTTGTGGACCTAACAGGAAAGGGATTAACTGAAAAAGCTGAGAGCATAAGGACTCCTGCACCATCCAGGGGATGTTATAAGAGAAATCTCAGCTGATGGTTGTCAGCAACGTTTCACATGCCTGGGACTCTTTCTGTGTCTGCTTGTCACTGACATCTTTTCATAAAAATCTTTTCTTTAGGATTTTTCTCCCTTCTGAGAAGCTGTGGCCTCAGCAAGAAAGTGTAAAGAATGGTTATCTGCTGCTGTGGAATGCAGCAGGTGGATCCGTGCTTGGTCTCAGGTGAATGTTTGGATTTACTGACCATTCATGACAGAGCTGTTCTCATTCTCTGCTGAGACACAGCCCTTTGTTATTCATTCCTTTTCTATTCTTAGCTTAGCTAGCCTTCTGAGAACTTTCCTTTTATTTCTTTTTAGTATAGTCATAATGTAAAATATATCATAAAATAATAAATCAAGCCTTCTGAACATGAAGTCAACATTCTCACCTCTCTCTTCATCCTGCAACCCTTGTGACCACTGTAACATCTGCTGACAACCTTAAAGCCTGGCTGTTCCTGGGATGGCAGTTGGTGTGAGCAGTGTTTTGTTTAATAGGCAGGGAGTGCCTGGAAAAACACAGCAGACAGAGTCTCAGAGATGCACCTTTGTGCCTACTACTACTGCTGATATTGCTGTGGAGATTGAAGTCAAACCCATATGAAAAACAGATATGGAAACATCAAGTTTTCCTGAATGATCTTCACTGTAATTTTCAGTGAATATAAAAATTTAAATAGGTTAAGCTTCCTCTCCTAACAAATTGGGATGAATTCTGTTATTTTCCTGGGTAAATATTTGGGTCAGTCAGTTACTATTAGAGAGTGATTAGATTGCTCAAGAGGCTTTGAAACAAATGTAACTAATGAATTAACCTCATTCAGGGAGTGTGAAATCTGTTCCAGGAGAAATGCCAACTAGTTCAAACAATCCTAATTATGGAGCAGCAACAACAAGCGGCTGTGGGAGCTGTAGCTCATTCCCCAGTGCTCCTGTCAGACCTGGGGAAATGCTGCTCTCTACCCAACCTGCCTGGAAAAAGGTGCCACGG